TTACCTATTTAAATAACTGTATTAGTCAGAATAGGAAGTTATCAAAAGCAAGTTTGTTCGGTAGTTCGTGTTTTCTCAAACGTTCCAGAAATGACTATGGACTTTCTTTAGTTCATGAGCTCAAGTTCGTCACTAAAATCTATGATAGCTGAAAATTCCATACCGTAGATGTATCGTTGCTTCCCCAAACTTCCTTCATCCTACCCCCATATTATTCAAGTAGTTTTACATTCATCGAGAACCTGAGCCGATCGTACTCGCAGTTGTGCCTCTTCCAGAACTCATACCCCTATTCATTCACGTCCTCCTTCGACGAACTTCACAGTTCCTCTTTCATCGACTGAGACTTTTCTTCTCCCTCAAGCTGGTCACACGTGAAGCCTAATGTTCACAGGAGAACAAACGTTTTTAGGTCGNACTCTTTGGAGCACAACCGCTGATGTGTGTTATATTCAAGGCTCCAGCTTCATCATTCGTTTGACATCCCCATGCAACAAATATGCTAAGTTTCACATGCACTTTTCTAAGGAACCTGAGACTGTGGCTTCTGGTCATACTGATATTAGTGTGGCTCTCAGTAAGAGTGATGGAACCTCCATAGTAAACTGTGTTCCAGTCGAACATCGGTTATGAACAGTGGCACGTGGAGGTTTCAGGGAAGTTAGTAGTCGCCGTCCCGATTGGTCGTCTCAGATTACGTACCTGCGAACTGCAGACCGAATGCAGTTAACGATGACTTGTAACAAAACCTGCATGACCTGCTGCATAAAGCAATGCTGGCTGGTATCGCAATTTTAGCAGGAGATATAAATATTTGAGTAAGTCAGCTGTCTTTGAGCGCAGCACATCTAGGAGATTCTTTTGGATTGGACTCCTGTTTCTCGGAAAGAACGGAACGACTGTTGGCTCTATGTTCTAGTCATTGTTTATTCGTTGCTACTACGAACTTCAGACGCTGTAATTATTGGTAAGCACCTTGGTGTCTGCTGTTTTTGAGATATTAGCGGATTCAGAGTGACCACATCGCTATAGGCCACAAAATGCGGGGTTGCATTCAACATCTGCTATCGTATTTCAACACATTTCTCGAATTTGACAACGCATAAGTTTGCGCTGAGTTGCCCATGTACTTCAATGGGCTCTCGAAATCTGCACTACAGCAACGGTTATGTAGACTGCAATAAACCGTCTCCACCAGCTTGTCTAGCGGCTTTTCAAAACGGGCTTGTTAAAAACCTACAATCAATCCCATTCCACAGTGTCAATCAGCAGTTGTCGCTCATCAAGTATGCTCTGCACTCTGTTAGCCTAGTGAGTAGTGGCCGGTTGCGTCACGTCGTGACACCATAGATTTCCACTCTCTACATCTTCTTGACGCATCCCGATCAACCCCGACAGGCAGCGAGCGAATCGGAATGTTACATTTTTTCTCTGAAAGAGGAAGTCGTTTTTCATCACTCGATGGTTAGATCATGTTGTACGCATACCTGTTCATCTTTGGCCTCTCCGTGCTCTTTTTGCGCCTACTAGACGAGGCCGGAAGAAGCGTCGTGGCACTGGGGTATGAGAAACCTAGCTTCACTATTGGCTTCGTATGGTGCTATCTACCTTCCAGATTGAGCCCCAGGGGCTGAGGATTGTCGTTGTCTAGAGATGGTGAGATATAGCTTAGAACGGAAGTCAGTGGTGCGAATATTGTCCCGTCTGATTGTAAATTACGCAAGTATTATTTGTGATCTGACTACGCTGATGTGATTCGAGCACACGACTTACGAGCTGTCGATTTGATGACCTGAGCCACTTGATCATCGTAGATGTACAGAAAAGATACACAGTTGCGATAATTCAATTATCTTTGGGCTGTCTCTCGGAAACTTCATTGCCAACGCAGTCTTCAAATAAAGAAATGCCTAAACTTTGAATTGAAAACCGTTTTCATTTCGAAGAACTCTTCGTTTTATCAAATTTGCCCCAACATTGTTTCACGCACAGGTGTGAGTTTTTTTCACGTGGATTTTCTAATTGTTTCTTCGTCACATAGGTGTTTGATCTACTGAATCTATCCACTCGTTTAAAGTATATTCATCATCGAAACCAATTTTTCATCTTGAAAGAACTATTCTCTCTTAAGACACCCCTCATTCATCTAACTCAAATCTATCCACTTGTGTATCTACTTCCTCCAGTAGAATTCAATACAGCCATTGTACGCCAGAACCACGATCTGTTACCTTTCTGTCATCTCTCATCTTACTAGATATTTACATCAACCGGATGCACTTGACGGCTGCGTTAAAACGCTCTTTAAACTATCATCTTTCCTCTATACTTACCATTCAGATAGGTGAACCAATTGTGAGTAGGGCAGTGCTTTCCGTGTGGTCTGGTAGCTCAGCCGATGGAGTAAGCGCTATAAACGAAAGTGTAGATGGCCTCCATGCGTGGGTGCGCTACTGCTGGTCTTATGGCTATTCAAACAAGACCAATACATCTTTTTGTGTTCCTTTCTATCTTGATTATCTTAGTAGAATCGATCGGTTCTCTGATGGTACGGTATCCAGTGAGCACCATTCCACTTCCGTGTGACTGAAGTTATTATTGATTTGGCTTGACCTATAAGTATAAAATCAGCAACAGAGTGAATATCAACCTACCAACCCGCATGATGACAACAGCCTCCTAAATTCAGGCACTGCAAGTTCATCACAACTTGCGTAACCATTGAGTCATCCTTTGTCAAGGGTCCCAGACACTTGTCGCACAGGACCATGCTCAGTTATTTCTTGGCAAAACTCGTTGAATAACGAACCTCTCTGCACTGCTCACAATCTCTGTGTCATCAAAAAGAGCCTCAATCAATCTGATTGTTTTACACCACAGCTCATGCAAATTTGAGCAATCGCTTTTTCTGCAACATTATGCTCTCTTGCACTTCCACCATTTCGATCCATTCAACTCGAATCTAAAGAAACCTAGTTGAATATAACATTTGTCTACTCTATAGTCTTCATAAACTAGACCCCTTGCTAACTTTGTGCACTCAGTTTTCTGAGCTTTCACTTTGTTTACAAACCAAGATTGCAAATGACCTCAACGGTCACAACAGATTTGTGCTATTGTTTGATTCCTCTTGCATGTTTTTTACATTTTCTCTCTCCCTTTTACCGTTTGTTGTTTGAAGACCATTTGTGGAATTTGGTGCTGCCGTCGTAAAACAAATATTTCCCCTAAAAATTGTTCCAGTTGTTTGCTCAATTCGGGGTATTTATCGCTTTAAAGGTCTTGTTTGAGTGCATATTTGGGAAACGGATTGAAGCTAAGCGTTGATCGCCGAGTCACGAAGAACCGTCTCATCGCGATAGCCCACTAGTTGGCCTCCCCTTGAATTTGTTCTAAACCGGGCCAATCCGAGCAAACTGATTTCCTCGAAGTGTTCGATTACACCTGTTGACGGTAAACGAAAACTGATTTCCTGTGAACACTATACCAGCACGTAACAGCTATGCAATAATCACATAGAAAGTCAACGAGCATTTTGTTGTAAAGTTCCACAGTTAGTAGCTGCTCCTTGCGGGGGCTGCGCATTCTGGTCCGTTCACACCAAGCAGAATAAACTACAACAAAATTCCATGATTTCTGTTTCTGCTCCTCCCCGTTCATTGTCCACGCATTCGAGGACTTAGTTTACTATCCGCTGAGGAAAGTCAAAACTGTTGTTTCTCACTTTGGTGGTAACACAACTTTATCCAACTGTCTCATCCACTCCTCCCTAAGCCTTACTACTGACCATATTTTATCCCAGCCATTTCCATCAGAAGTATACGGAATATCCTAGTATCAGCGGAACTCGCTGAGTTCCTTCCTATCATCCATGAAATCTGTACCCCAGAATTGCCCCTGCCCCCTCACAAACATCGCCGTTTATGTTTATCCATTATTTCATGGATACTCCCTAGGAAATCGCAGATAACTATCTTGCCAATCCTCCTTCCCTCTTATCTATCGTGTAGGAGAAAGTACAACATCACACTGGTTCGGAATTCTTGTATTCTATTACGCCACTTCCGCCTGTCATAGATGTTTCTGTGTCACCAGGTGGTTTTCGCTTGGTCCCATTCCTTTCCACCAAAATGTTTTGGACAATTTTATTTTCAGTAAAGAGGAAATAAACAAATGTTGTATTATGAGCATAAATCTCGGGGAGCCATCATCAGTAGTATTGACTCGTTTGAATCATGTGAGACACTTCGTGCTACTATCCTTTGTTGTTGTTGTTGTCGTTGCGAATTGCACTCCTGCAGGTACTACAGCGGGATTACAAAATAATTTCAGTTTACCCCATATCTGACATACAAACCTTTGAGATCTATATAGACAGTTTTTTTCTCCCCAACAGATCATACTACATTCGATGCTCTTAATGTAATAATCAAAATATGAGAAAATTATCTCCGATTTTGCATCACTTTCAGATTGTACCGGATTTTATTGCTCAGTGAAAGCCCTGCCTTCAAACACCTGGATCATTTCTTCTGTTTCAATGCCTTCCCTACCCTTAGTATTATGGAATTACCGTTTTGTTTTTTTACTTCAAAAATATCACTCGAAACATGTTAAAAACAGCAATCTAATTTGCCATTTAACAATGAAGCCAAGGAAATGACTCACATTTCACCCCTTGTGAGAATATTTTGAAATCACGTCTTTCCTTCTAGATCTCGACCTGAGCGGTGTATGTGTGCGTGTGTGTGACGAGGAACAGGCGAGATCTAATTCTACATTTCCCGTGGTTAATAAGCCTTCACTCGTGGCCTTTGCTATCAGCTTGTTCACCGAGTGACACAAAGGCAACCTAGCTATACTCTTTCTTTCGGTTATGAAGTGGTGCATTAGGATTTCCGAATATGAGTCACAGTCTACCGGTCACTGGTGGACACCATCGATTCACTTTCCTACCAATTCGACGGACAACGTAATAACCGTAACCGAACGCCGATCGGGATTAGTCTCGATATCCAAAGTTTTGAACCATTTCTGTGCTTTGGGCAATCAAGATATTGATTGTTTCCCTGCTCACTGTGAAAATCCCATTCTGCGACTTGCTAATCGGATGAGTTCACCGATTAGTTACTGGATCATGTGTTTGTGCTACTCACTGAGCTAATTGTTACGTAGAATGAAAACCACGGCAAGCACTATGGTTGACAGTATGAATGATGGTGAAGTGATTTGGCTTCACCGTCGCTGCTTGCTTTGGACCCTCTGTTCTGCGATTTGAATCCAGCACCAGGATTGATAGACAACCTCTTTATGACCCACTATATGTTTAACATGTTTGTATTGATTGAAAATCCAGTACTTAGCTGTCTATTCGTAGAAATTGTCACTTTGTGTGTTTAACACATTCTCATCGTCCACATAATTAGTGCTTTTCTGTGGCGAAGAAAACACATGGCTGTGTTGATGAAATACTTATAATTGTGTGAGGCTCCAGCTTCAACCCGTCTGAGCGCAACATCATTTGCGCGTACCTGTTGTTTTAGCTTTTTGGGCGGTTCACACTCATACACGTCTGAACTTTGATTTCTTCAGATGTGGCACAAATTTTGATAGGATTGGAATATAGGCAACGAGGTCTCGTTGTTCTGAGTTCTGTAGACAGTATCATGCCTCCTCTGAGGCTTAAAAACCAGCTGTTGCTTCCGCCGGTCATTTTACGAACCCTTTCAGTTGCTGGTCCTTGTACTAACAACTCTGTCTTTGAAAGATAGTTCCGCTAAACGGTGACAAATCATTTGCACCAAACTCTTGGCGTCAATGAATCCACCGAAATTTGAGTGCAAGATTTTCCGCTGACCTGTAGTTTCTTGCTTTCAACTGGTTTTGATGTTGACCTCTTTTTTCTTGCAATCATATAATTCTACGACCCCGCCACACACACCGATTTGCGACGCAATCCTCTTCATGAAAATTCAATTATTGTGCAAATTTTAAGCTCCTTTTTTATCACCAAGCATCAGGGCTGTGTTCTTTGTTTTGACCTTCTAGTGACAATTCATGAGTGCATTTGATTTCAATTACGATAATAAAAAAGCTTCAGTTAATATGTTTGACGGGGGAGGGGGAGGACACTGTGATAGTGCAATCGAAGCAATCGAATTTTTTAGTGATCTATTTTATGGTCGATTTTCGTTTTTTTTGTTTCCTGTACGATGAAACCGTAGGATAGATGCAGCAAATACTAGATAAGTGTTTCTCCAAAGGCTTGAACCCCCAAACTGGGAGCCAGAAAACTTTACCGTCGCCTAACCGGTCGATGGCTAACACTTTTATAAGATGGTTGGGTTTTAGGTATCGCACAACCATTATATGCATCAAATGCACTAACATGTGATATTCACCCCAAAAACAACTTTTTTCAGACCGTGGTGACTATGATTTTGTACAAGCTGACAAAGTATTTATATTTCTCATAAACGTTTTTTGCTCCAAATTCATTCAGTTTTTATTATCGGCTTAAACCTACTTCGTGTTGATTGGGCACACTCTTTCCCCAGGTGATTATTCTTCCCTCTCTCGGTTGTTTAACAGGTGGCCCAGTTGGTACGACAATACAGGCGTGAGNAAAAATGCAAACAAGCCAATCCGAACATCACTCGGTTTTTCCCGCTTCGACCGGCCGTCTGTTTGCTGCTTGCCAACGCCATCGGCCTGTCAGCTTTCATGCCCGCCCCGTACGAATATTTGGAGCTGCCCCTGATCGCTGGATTTGAGTACGTCTCATCATCATCATCATCATCACCATTTTAAGCGCATAGTACAACCTCATTTATATTAAATTAGTGAATTCCAATCTTTGGGAAGTTTAAAACTAATTACCTCAATTTGTGGATCACTGTTCCACGAAGGTTTTTAATAATTGTATCACTAATACTTTTTACTCCCTTTTTGTTGACTACGTATCTGTACAAACAATTTTTTTTTGTATGATACCAAGTATCGATTTTCATTCGTGCTCATCCTTTATTGGCCACTCTAGCCATTCGTTACACTGTCATAGGTGACAACCCGGACCACATGACCACATGCTACACATTTTTTCGAAGTCAGACAAGTACAGTTCCATGTAATCGGCATATGGGAAGTATATTTAACCCAATTTCAACGGTTTCCATCTGGCTATCTGTACAGCTTTCCTTTTTTTCAGGAATGCTTTAACTATCTGACTGGAGAGTCCAACCAGTTACTGTCCTACCATGTTACCGACGGAATGAACAGCTTTGAAGGATATAACTCCAATAATACTTGTGAATAGGAAAAATAACTTCATACGATAATCATATTTTTATTGGGGTCTACTTCTTCATTGAAGACTTTCTCGATACTGGTATTTGATTCCTTTGAATGTTCACTGTAAACCGGAGATGGCGCAATCACAAGTGCGGCTGGCTTCAGAAGCTCGAATATGTTGAATCACGGAATTTTATCAAACGAAACAACGAGTCAAGTAGTGTTTCAGATTACTGTGAGTCTATCAGGGTGGTTAGACCGCCAGTATGAGCCACATATGGTGTCATTCAAAATGATGAAATCGAACAGACCACAGGCAGTCAATTGGAGTTTAGCTGATCAAACGTTTATCTCACCTGTACGCGGAAGGTAGAACACAGTGAGGAGTCATTTTTTTTCCACGGGTAGCAATGTGGTTTTGACCTTACCACGCTGGAAGTTCATGTTTTTTCTTGAATCTGTCGTTGATCACACAGTAGTCAATCATATAGGCGTTAGTTTGATTGGAGCTTAGTCACACGAACCGCGCGATGATGCCTGATTTTAGTCTAAACACAATTTCAGAGGATGTGGGCTCGTTTTGTTCTTTGAGTAGATTGACATTGCCAATCGATATTCACTTTTGGAAGCAGAATCTCATACGGAACAGGAAATAAAACATGTCATCCCATTCGCACGCTGCGGTTGTGGATGAACACGTTTCGTTTTCTGATTACTGAGTAAGACACTTGTTTAGCATCATGCGTGACTGATTGCTTTGCTGTCGTAATATCTCATTGGATGTTGATAACATCTGCAAACTACAACCGATAGTTGTTAGTTGAATACAAACATCTGCACCACTCCAATGCGGCGACTATTCAGTCGTGAAAGGAGGAAGGTCAACAGGAGTTGTTCCCTCTCTCACACATTGTATGAGCTTATCCATGCATGCATCTTTTGCACTGAAGGTGTGCAATACACAACTTTGGGAGTGCACATCAAATACATTCTAAACAATACCCATGATCAGACCGGTTGAAGAATAGATAAACGTTCTATGCAATTAAAGCCTTTATAAGCATCTAACATGTTCCAACTGAAAATGGAATGTACAGAGTACGGAGCGGCACAAAACAGATTGGGAGTCGGTATAACGTTCTTGTATTGAAACCTGCTTGAGTTTCCCGTCTGACTACAAGCCCCAGATACTTTGGAAGTTTCATTGTTTTTAATTCTGAAATCTGCTCACCCTCTCATGAATTCCTTACTTCCATGGGATGGCTCATCGCATAGATGCCCCGATTATGATACTAAACATGAAATACTTTTAAGTACACTTCCCTAAACAAATCGTATTTGGTATTATTTTCCTTTTGTTTCAAATCCTCGCATTCTCCATTCAATAATCAACACTCATCTGTAAGATGACCAGCATTCCTAGTCAGCGACAGTCCATATGTGGACATTAACTCTGACCGGACTGTCACTTGCGTACACGTAATCTTTATCAAATGCTGCAATGGTGCCACAGCTGATGCTGATCGACTAAAGCTAACTTTTCTTTCTTTAAATGTCACTACGAGTCATCAGTGAATGTTTTGCAGATGGGCATGCAGCTTCCCAAGCATACAGCTTTGTTTGCATTAATACGTCCATTCGGAACATCATCGACTTCGTCCGATAAATGTCTTGCTGGCAGTTTGTACAATCATTAACCTTGTGAATGTCTGGTACCCTTCGAAGGTAAGCAATACACACTAAGCTTGGCTACGGTGATCGTTCAGTCAGGCATAAAACCTCTCAGGTTATCTAGATATTCACTTATCAATCCGAAGTTGTCCGCATTCACCGTGATAGAAACCTTATCTTCTCGAAGTATTTCGCTCACCCTATTCTTGGCTGATGTTAGAATCGGTTCTAAAATGATACCGAAGAGACAAACCTGGTTCTCACCACCACTCCCATTGTTGCACAGGAGTAAAGCATTTCTCTTTAGCTCGGAATCGTTTTTGGCTATTCGTATCTAACTATGATGATAGCGAATATTGTTGGTGTTTCTTCCAGGTGGAGTAGTTCTAGGGAATATTCCGACTGATTAATTCCATAAACGCCTTTAGCTAAAACCTTGGCTAGGTAAAAAGCCCACATAATTGCTAAGTGTGCACAGGCTTTGGATATTCGACTGTACACAATGCGCGCCAGTTGTATGAATGTAGTGTTAACCAAAAGGGTGAGGAGTGCGAACACTGGTGGATTTTGTCAGTGTATTATATCCGAACTCCTTTGCGTGAATAATTCAATCGCACAGAGACCTGTTCTTCAGTTACTTCGCCTGCGCGAGCTCAAACGCTGATGAACAATTCAGGCAGATTTTACGTCCACTAACTCGCCAAAAAGTTTGACTTTTCATCTACGTTAAAAATCTCGATAAACCACAAAGGATACGTTCCAGAGATATTGTGCCCGAAGAATCAAAGCCAAAGTTTTACTACGAGAATTACTTGCAAGCTCATGGTTCTCTTGTCTCCATAGGATATTTGTGCAATCGAATCGTTCATGGGCAAAAATGATAAATTTTAGTGCGATGGAAATGTTTGTGATAACCAACAAAGAGCACTGGACAGCTGTTTCGTCCTGTTTGTGACTCGTCAGCAGTGCGTACTTTTTGTGTCCCTGTCAGGACTCGAACCGCGATTCTTCGGGCTGGGACTCTAAACCCTTACCCTTGGGCTACACGGTTACATCATCAACAGTGCCTGGTGCCTGTGAAAAACCGAATGGGCTAATCCAAACATTCATCATCTAAATTAATTGAGCCATTCGCACAAGGTGATAACTGTCGACCGTGTAGCCCAAGGGTCAAGGTTTGAAGTCCCAGCCCGAAGAATCGCGGTTCGAATCCTGACAAGGACACAAAAAGTACGCACCGCTGACGAGTACCAAACAGGGGAAACAGCTGTCCAGTGCTCTTTGTTAGTTATCGCGAACATTTCCATCGCACTAAAGTGCAAGCAAACAGTGGGGAATTAACAATCTCCCAAGGAGTGAAACCAACATCGAACATCATCAACAGTGCCTGGTGCCTGTGAAAAACCGAATGGGCTAATCCAAACATTCACCATCTAAAATGATACATATCACANTTTTTGTGTCCCTGTCAGGACTCGAACCGCGATTCTTCGGGCTGGGACTCTAAACCCTTACCCTTGGGCTACACGGTTACATCATCAACAGTGCCTGGTGCCTGTGAAAAACCGAATGGGCTAATCCAAACATTCACCATCTAAAATGATACATATCACATACAGTTCGAGGTAGCTGATAACACATAATATAGTCTTCAACTAATTTGTGTTTTTAGTTGTGTAGGCAAATGAGTTTTTTCAGGGTTTTATCAACTCTATGTTTGAAAAATTCAACAGTTGATGCTCAAACGACGTGAGATTAAAGGTCATTCCAAGTATTGCGAACTCTAACCGCAAGCGATTGACGCCGGTATTCCAGTCGACACTTTGGAATCCGTAACTCGAAACAATGTCCCTTAAGGTGTATATTGGGCGAAAAAGTGAGCGCGGACGACATGGTTGATTTTAGTTCTGCAACATTTGGCATATCAAAATTAAGTCTCCTCAAATTCAGTGGTACTGAGGGGAATATAGTCCCAATGATAGTAATCTCTCCCCGTAGGTGAGTCAGAGCATTTCTTTAATAATCTTGGTGGGCAATCCTCTATGGACGTTTCAGCGTCTTAAGATCACGTTGCGACAATGTTATCCCAGCATGTATGGCCGACTCTGTATTCGATCGAATGTATACTGATAACACAAGCGAGAATCAACCTCTTTGAGACGTTTTTGTGCAATACGTTTTGTTTGTATTTGTTGAACTTAGTTTTGGGCTGTCCATCCTCGAGGGATAACCAAAAGGAATTTGTGATAGTTGGGGTGTATGGACTAAATTCTCTAGATGTTTGGACACTAAAGTTATATACTTAGTAGTATTTAAATGACAGCCATATTTCTTTGAAAATTTGGCACTGTGTGGACCTTTACAGCGGTTTAGGTTATCTCGAATTCGTTTATAGTCACCTTTTATCAGATATAGGGATTTCAAAATCCAGTTATAACTAAGTTATTCGGGGACTTCCTTCCAGGTGTATACGATGGTAGTATCAGTTGGTTTTCTGCTTGATAACCTGTTCTATCTCTTTGTTAACATTCATAGTAATAAAGGTGATGCGTCGAATTGGTTACAACAAATGTCTTTCAAATTTCAACGTTATGTAATTAATAAAAACTGTTGTGCCCTATCATTTGCATCCAGCGATGGAATTAAGTAGCTGCAACTTCACCTGCTGTCCTAACGCGTTGTCCGCAATACATCGTCAAACTCATTTATTCCCTTGCAGTCAGCCTACAAATTTATTCATAAGCTCTGTTCACGTCTGAGGAATCTGACGTCATCAAATCCGAAGCTCTCTGACCGCGTTTTCAACATCTTTTCCTTTGGTTTTCTGGATGGCGCCCATAGACCCTCAG